TGACTCCAAAGCTGTTGGCTCCTATCACCTTTCCCCTGCACCCCGGTTTCTCCCCACAGGGGTCTGCACCCTCCAGCCTCCAACCAGGGGTGTCTCCGGAAATGCCAACCTAAAGCAGTTCTGGAATAAGGATGCAGCAACTGAGAATATGCTCACAGACCCGCCCAGATACTTAAATGACAAAAGGAAGGCACGATGCAGGGAGTTAGCGTGCCACCCTGCTCCCAAGTGCAAGCAGAGTGTGACTGCGCTGTCCCGCTGTCCCGCTGTCCGGAGGCGGCAGGGACACTGGGAGCCACTGGCTGGGGAGCTGCGCTGGGGCTGGGGGACTGGGAGGCAGGCTCACTCTCCACCGTGGACCCTGCTGACCGTTTGGAATTTGGTTCCATGTGCGTGTGTTACCTATTTTTAGGAATGAATCCTTTTTAAGATAAACTAACAACACGGCAGGCTCTTCCTTGCTGCCACTCTTGTGGTCTGGCTCCCCACGGCCTTCAGGATGGAGTCGGGACCGCTGGCTCGCTGATCTCTCTCTCACACACTCTACTGAGCTCTGGCCACCAAGTACAGCTTTGTCATCTGCATAACCAGGTTGGTTTCGCAGACCGTTCAGAGAGGATTAGAAATAAGGGAGTCAGTTTTTAGGGAGACCTGACCCCTCTGGCTGGCTGAGTCCAGCAGTCCTGAAGGCATGGGTTATGTTTCATCTCTTCCCACCTCACAGTTGAGGTTTATGTGGTTCCTACTGGCCAAAGCCACCATGGGTGAGGTGGCCCAACAGAACGAACCTGTTTAAAGGCCTCTAGGAATGATCTAGTGTTTACTGTCCTCGGGGCCAATGTGCTGAGATGGCCGAGGCATTATTTCCTTCACTTGGTGCAGCAGTATCCAGTGAGGAGGGCACTGCTGTTCTCTTCACCCGACAGTGAAACACACTGAAGCTCGGAGACCCTACGAGGAGACCCCAGATCCCACAACTGTTACGTGGTGGAGGCAGAACGTGAACCCAGACTGAGGTCCCAGCCTGACTGCGGCAAAAGCTCAAAAAACCCCAACGGCCTGCCACGAGCTGATGCTCACAGCAGCCCCGTCGGGTCTCCGAGGCTTGTTCCTGGTCATCGAGGAAAGCTCTGCCCATTGAGTACGATGTCTGCTGTGCAGTTTTCACATACGACCTTTTCATGTCGAGGAAATTCTCCAAGTCTTGAAGTTCTGAGTAGTTTCGTCACGGAAAGGTGTTAGATCATGTCCAATGCCCTTTCTGCACCGATTGAGATGGCCATTTTGTTGTTTTTTGTTCACTTTGTTGATGTAGTGAGTGTATCACAGGGATGGATATTTTGAAAGAATATTGTGAACCACCCGTGCATTTCCGGGGAGAAATCCCACTTGCTCATGGTAGTTTTTTAATCTGCTGTTGGACTCAGTCTGCTTTGATTATGTTGAGAATTCTGACATCTATATTCATAAGGGACATTGGTCTATAGTTTTCTTGTGGTATCTTTGGTATCTTTGGCTTTGGTATAGAGTGATGCTGGCCACACAGAAGGAGTTAGGAAGTGTCCCCTTCTCTACTGTTGACAAGCATTTTGCTGGATGTAGGCTACTGGGGTGAGTCCCCCCCAACACTCTCAGTGTCTCATCTCTGCCCTCCGGCCTCCATGGTTTCCAAGGAAGAGCCAATGCTGAGCCTTACTGGGATTCCCTTGTAAGTGATGGTTTACTTTTATCCTGCTACTTTTAAGATTCCGTCTTTGGTTTTTAGGAGCTCGGCTGTCATAGTGGTTAAAGCATTCAGCTGCTAAACAGAAGGTGGGAGGTTCAAACCCACCAGCTGCCTTCGTGAGAAAGATGAGGCAGTCTACTTCCATAAAGAGTTACAGCATCAGAAACCCTGTGGAGCAGTTCTCCTCTGTCCTATAGAGTCACCCAGTCAGAGTTGTCTTGCTGGTAGTGATTTTTTTGCGGGGGAGGTCGTCTTTGGTTTTTGACAGTTTGACTATCATCTGTAGCATAATGCTGTCAGGAGCTCTGATGGCACAGAGGGTAAGGCATCTGATTGCTGACCACAAGGTCAGCGGTTCAAACCCACCAGCCACTCCATGGAAGGAAGATGGGGCGATCTACTTCCATAAAGATTTACAGCCTCGGAAAGCCGATGGAGGTCACTTCGAGTAGGAATCAACTCGATGGCAGTGGGTTTGGTTTTATAGAAAATATGTTGAAGACACAGAAAGCCCCTGGACTTGTCTCTGGAAGCAGCTGGGGGATGAGAGGCTATGAGATGAGAAACGAGGGGAGCCCAGGGGTGGTGGTGCAGTGGCCAGAGGGGAAAGCAGGTCGGGGTGCTGGGGCCCCGAGCCCCACGCTGTCTGAACAAGACCATCACAAAGGGGTGGTGGTTAGTTGCTGTCGAGTCGAGTCTGACTCCTGGCCCCATGTGCAGAGTCAAACTGTCCACAGGGTTTCAAGGTTGTGACCTTTTGGAAGCATCACCAGCCGTCTCCTGGGGGCCCTCTGGGTAGGGCTGGACCACCCACCCTTCAGCTACTAGTTGAGAACTTGACCATCTGTGCCACCCGGGGACTCCTTGCAAGGGGGCAGATGAGCTGGAAGCTGCCAGAGACAATGTGCAGAGTTCTCAGGAGACCAGACCTTCCACCGTGTGGGGCTGGGCGGCGGGCAGACCCAGGAGCATCTGAACCAGGAAGGGACACACAGGCCAGAGAGGGCCTACCTGCCCCCCCACCAGCCAGGTGAGCCAGAACACCTCGCTGCCTGAGGGAGGCTGGATTTCTAGAAAGAACAATCCGAACAGGGAAAGGGGCGCTGGAAGATGCCACACCCCTCCACGAGAATCCAGAGTCCACACCTGGAGGAGGCCGGGCCCCAGGTCCGTCTTCCACGTGATGCAGGCTTTAAACCACCACCCTGTGCAGTACCACACAGAATCCACACCTGGAGGTGACTGGGCCCCAGGTCCGTCTTATAACTGGACTCAACAACAGCTTTATATGAC